GCAATGATTCTTCCATTTCCTCCGGAAGAATATAATTTAAGTCCTTGTTCCACTAATTTTGCATGGTGCATACAACTAATACTAGTCCTTGTTGCTTTGATAACAAAAACATGTCACATATTTTTTCCTTCCTCCTTTTGTATTTAGATGGTTCCTTACTAAAATCTGATATTTTGAGTAATAAAAGTCCCGCTACTCATACCATTCTCTTCCTAAATTAATAAGTAAACCATTCCCCCATTGGATGATGTGCAGAGGCAGAGTTAATACGAACACTAACTCCTTGAGCTAGGAAGATGTCCAATGATACCAACTCAGGCTAGTCATAGTGGGGAGTAACTTAGACTAGCAACATGCATAAGTTACTAGTCTAGTGTTACTACGTTTATAGTGGTTAGTGTCATATGTGTGATAATATAGAGACCTTTATTTATTAATTTATGGTCATTTTTCATTGAGAAACACTATGTGATGGTAACATATTATGTTATTCTATTTGTCTCTCTTCTCTTTAATTATTTGTCACATCATATTTTTTGCTTATGTGGCATGCATGCTAATACTTATGTTACTCCCACTATAAGTAGTCTCACAAGATAGCATATTTCAAATATGAAATTTACTCGTTGTAAGTAATTGCATTTTTTGTGTGAATGATCACAAGACATGTGTCTACAATACTGAAAAAGTTCATATCCAAATTCGAAATACAGATGCACAAAGGTCTGTCTTGTTTGATTACTTTTGATAGCCTGCATAGATAACTTAATGCAACTATGCTAGTAGTCATGCATGGCCGAACATATTGGCATCCTTCGGAAGCGCGCATAACTTAGAGCAAATTGTGTTGTACTGCTGGTCAGGGTTTTGGGTACGGCCCGGCAAATTCGGATACCACACATTATTTCCCAGTACCCACAAGAAATCAATTTCCCGAGGAAAAAATTCTTATGTTTTGAGTTTGAATGAATTTTTTTGACTCAAAATTCCTTCCAAAAACCGTAGGGAATTTCACAGTAACCGCTGTATCCGTGTTTATCGGTGAGCCATGAGAAAAAAGTGCCCCTCGATGGACAAAACCTTAACTAACTACTTCCTCTGTTCCGAATTACTTGTCGCGGGTATGGATGTATCTAGATGTATTTTAGTTCTAGATACATCAATTTCTGCGATGAGTAATTTAGAACGGAGGGAGTATGTTGTAGAAAAAAGTGCATCTCCGTAGATTGTCTGCTGGGCATGCCTGAGTGGAGGCCATAAGTAGCCCTTCCAGAACTATTTGTGATCTTATCACAATCAAGGACCTAAATTAACTAGCGGTTAATTTGTTTCTCACTCACCATATAACTTTTCGATTTCCCAAAACCTCCCTCACAACATATAGCTCTAGCTAGTTGGCTTGATTGTGTTGATCAAGAGAGAAGGATGGATTGGAAACCTACTGTGGCGATGGTGGCAGTGGTGGTCATGTACGCGGTGATGAACACACTTACGAAGGCAGCCTTTAACGAAGGGATGGGCACCACTATCCTCCTCGTCCTCCGCCTGCTCGTCGCCACGCTCTTCCTCGCCCCAATCACATACTTCAAAGAGAGGTTTGTGTCAGCACCGGCTGATGTCCTTACAGTTATAGTTAATTGTATCCCGATCACTTGCTGCATATGCATCATCCATGAAGAGGCCTGGGATAATGAAAGCTTCCGGTTTCAAAAAACTGAAAAATCCTGATCATCAATTTCTGTTGGTAAATTATTTAATTTGTGTATGGTTTCAATGTAGGAAGAGTAGACCTAAGCTGACCACCGAGATCCTCGTGTACCTCTTCTTCAGTGCCTTGCTCGGGTAATTAATCACTTTGCTTAATTACAGCAAGTGTTGGCTAGTTAGTCTTGACTTCGAATTACTTTGTATGACAATATTGTAGGAGTATATACTATATAACTGTAGATCTTTCTTCATTTTCATATGCTAATTAATTAATGCATCGCATAGCAGAAACTCACTGTCGCAGTGGCTCTTCTTCCGGGGTCTGCGATACACGACCGCGACGTTCGCGAGCGCCTTCAACAACACGACCCCCATGTTCACCTTCCTCCTCGCGCTAGCCTTCAAGCTGGAGAAGCTCGACGTGGCCACAGGCTCGGGCGCCGCCAAGCTCACCGGCACGGCCGTGGGGCTGGCCGGAGCGACGGTGCTGGCGCTCTACCACGGTCCGGCACTGACGGGGGCGCCGTCGGCGGACCACCTCACCACCGCCGCCCACGGCAGCGCGCGGAGTTGGGCGGTGGGGTCGGCGGCGCTACTGGGCTATTCCGGGAGCTTGTCTCTGTGGTTCATCATGCAGTCGAAGATCGGGACAAAGTACCCGGCGCTCTACTCCGGCACAGCGTGGATGTTCCTGCTCAGCTTCGTCCAGATGGCCGTCGTCGGGGCCTCCACTGAGAAGAGGACCTGCCAGGTCTGGGTCCCCGGCACAGCGCTCCAGGTCGTCACAGTGCTCTTCGCGGGCGTCGCGGCGTCCGGGCTGGGGTTCCTGGCCATGTCATGGTGCGTGGAGCGGCGAGGGCCCGTGTTCACCACCGCCTTCATGCCGCTAATCCAGATCGTCACCGCTGGGATCGACGTTGCCATCCTCCACGAGCAGCTCCGCCTCGGGAGCGTGGTCGGGTCAGCGGTCGTGGTCGTGGGGCTGTATTTGGTCCTATGGGGGAAGAGCAAGGAGGCAAGCACCATTAATGGACCTCCGCCATCAGATCCCGAGCTTGTGCTGGAACCTGGAAGTGATAACAGAGCAGTGTGTGTGATACGCAGCTACGTAAGGTGACTATAAGGAGCAATTCCTTTTAACCAGAATCAAGTGATCTTGCGTTATTGGAAATAATTAAACGTGTAAACGTGAAAACTGGATTATAGCTTGAATTACTCTCTCTTTTTGCACATAAGACTTCACCAGTGGGAAGGGTGTTTTGACTCCCTGGTGTATTTGCTACCGCATGAACAATAAATTCGAAAAAATTACACTAAAATAAAAAAAATCTGACTTTTTTTTGTAGATGTTCATGTTAGTTTAGCAAGGATGAATGGCAATTTTAATGCGAAATGCAGGTATAGTAATTCATCAGTGAAAACACAAATTCGGATGCAACATTTGGTGTTCAATTTTTTTTTTTGCGCAGGCCAAAATGCTTAACCTTTTTACCAAAAAATTTAGAAATACCATTTGGATGTGACTATGAACACATAAATTTTTTGTTGGGATTTTCTTTTAACATTTCAACAATCATTTTTCATGGGCAGGTGCAAGTGCACCTGGGAGCCAAAACGGATTTCCGCTACCAGCCACCTGACCATAGTGTTGGTAGATGAACTAGTAGAGAGAAGCACACTTGTGACCTGAAAAACTTCAGTGAAATCAAAGTATTTTCAGTCATAGTTTAAAACGCTAGACCGACAACCAAACCGGTGTGGTTGTCGGTTCAAGTTTTCGCCTGTCGGACTAGCCAGCTCAGCCAGTTCATTGGCAACAGAAACCAGCTGTTTTCCTTTTAAAAAAACATCATAACAAATGAGTACACATAATATTGAATGTGATCCGTCAGTAAATCAAAATATATGGTTAGCCTGTATGAGAAGGAGGAAGGAGTGGATCCTACAGAAGTTTTGGAGTTAGTAACCGAGAGGGTCAGCGGAGACATGAAAGGGGCTCTTACTAAACAGTTCTCTGCCACGGAAGTTAGTGATGCTTTGTTCCAAATTGGCCCATTAAAAGCACCCGGACCCGGCGGATTTCTGGCGCATTTTTCCAAAGAAACTGGAGGGAACTAAAGGATGAGGTCGTGCTTGCTGTTCTGGATTTTTTTTTGAGAAGGGTCTTCTTCCGAAAGGAATAAACGACACGGTAATCGTCCCGATCCCTAAAGGAAAAGACCCTCAGTCCTTGAAGGATTACCGACCGATAAGCCTATGCAATGTCATCTACAAAGTCATTTCGAAGTGCTTAGTAAATTGACTACGACCCATTTTGGATGAGATCATCTCTGAGACCCAGAGCGCATTCATCCCCGGCATAATGATAACTGATAATGCCATCATTGTGTTTGAATGTTTCCACAAGATCCAACACTGTCAGAATGCAAGAGACATTTACTGTGCATACAAACTAGACCACGCAAAGGCCTATGACAGAGTTGACTGGAGCTTCCTAGAAGGTGTCTTGCATAAATTGGGTTTTTGCAAAAAGTGGACGGATTGGGTGATGCAATGTGTGCGGTCAGTTAGATACTCGGTGAGATGTAATGGAGAGCTGCAAGAGCCATTCTGCCCATCAAGGGGTTTACGGCAAGGTGACCAACTCACTCCATATCTATTTCTCTTTGTGGCAGACGGCCTAGTGCATTTGTTGAGGAATGAAATGTCAGAGAATTATCTCACACCCATTAAGATTGCGAGAAATAGTCCGGGTATTTCTAACCTCTTGTTTGCGGATCATAGTTTAATATTCTTCAAGGCTATCCCAGAGCAAGCCGAAGCCATCAAGAGAGTAGTAATTTCGTTCCAAAAGTGTACTCGACAGCTTCTAAGTGTTAGTAAGTGCTCTCTTCTTTTTAGTCAAGTGTGTCCAGTGCAAACAAGAGAGGAAATAAAGACCATTCCCGGGGTGCAATCGGAATTCTTTGAGAGCAAGTATCTAGGCTTACCTACTCCGGAAGGGAGAATGAAGGAGGAATAGTTCCAACCGATCATCAATAGGTTTGGGAAAAGGTGCAGCGATTGGTCTGAGAAGTTTATGTCCTGTGCAGCTAAGGAGGTCCACGTCAAGTCGGTGATCCAGGCCCTCCCAACTTTCACCATGAGTGTCTTCACGCTCTCTAAAGGTTTTTATGACAAATATGAAAGAATGATCAGGGACTTCTGGTAGGGTGATGAAGAGGGACACAGAAAGGTCCATTGGATGTCGTAGGAGTGGAAGATAAAACCAAAAAGAGCAGGGGGCATTGGGTTTAGAGATATGCACTTATTTAATCAAGCTCTCCTGGCCAAGCAAGGGTGGCAGTTGATTCAGAACCCGGATAGCCTATGTGCTAGAGTTCTTAAGTCCAAGTATTATCCTCACGGCAATCTCTTGGACACTGTATTTGTGACAGATGCATCCCCAGTTTGGAGGGCAATGGAGTTTGGCCTTGAGATTCTGAAAAAGGCCTAATATGGAGGGTGGGAGATGGCAAGAAAATTCAGATCAAACGAGACCAATGGATTCCGAGACGGGAGGGTCTTATGATAGCATCTTTTATAAGGAGATCTCAGATTAGATGGGTTAATCAACTCATGCACCCCAACACAAAGGAGTGGAACGAGGAATTAATAAGGCAGATTTTCCACCCTTTTGTTGCAGATGAAATATGCAAAATTCATATTCCGTCCTCGGACGTGGAGGACTGCGTGGCATGGCATCACGAGAAAAACGGTGAGTTCTCGGTGAGAAGCGCCTACAAACTTGATGCGATGAGCCTCCCCCAACTACCCCAAAATGCCTCAAGTTCGGCTAGGGACCCAAACGATCGGAGCATATGGGACCTAATTTGGAAATCCAAGGTGCCGGGGAAAGTACGAATCTTTGGATAGAGGGTGGCCACCAATACCCTAGCAACAAAGGAGAACAAATGGAAAAGAACACTTGAACTGGATGCTACCTGCGGCATTTGTGGAAATGGGATAGAAAATGAACATGATGCAATGGTTATGTGTACAAGGAGTAAAGCGTTGAGAGCTGCCATGAGACAGGTCTGGAACCTACCTGCTAAAAATAAATTATGGTTCACAGGCGAGAACTGGCTACAACCTACAAGTAGTACTGGACACAGAGAACGAGGAAACGCGCGCCAAAATCCTGCTGTTACTCGATGTTGGCACCACAGGGAGGATTGCTTGAGAAATAATGGCAGGGGGACGAGAAAAGGGTATGTGTAGTTTCTGAAACAATACGAGGAAGATTTAAAAAAGGCAAAGGTTTCAGCTGAGCAATGTGGGGAGAAGGCTATAGAAAACGATCAGGGAAACTGTACCCGGGCTACTACACAACCAGTCTGTATGACCAAAAGGCTCGACGAAAAATGGATCCCGCCAGTTCGAGGTGTAGTTAAAATAAATATGATGCATCTTTCCTAGCTAAGACCAGAGAAAGTGCTGCTAAAGTTGTCGGACGAGACTACCGTAGTGTTGTCTTGAAGTCAGTCTGCAAGAGGCTACCAATGCGCCGGAGCGTTGAGGAAGCCGAAGCCCGAGCCATCCTGGTAGGTCCGCAGGCTATGGAAGGAAATTAGAATGGCCAAGTTATTGTTGAGACGGAACCAAATCATCACGAACGAACTGCTAGCACTGAAGGCTACACGCTCCCCTCATTATGGCGCTAATTTTTTTTAAATAATACATTTTTATTAATTTACACAAATATTACATCCGATAAATAATTTTCAAAAATAATACACCGTCGGCCCGCAGCCGATTGACAGGACCTAGTCGGCCCACAACTGGCCGACTGAACCCCTATCGGCTTGCTGTTGGCTGAATGGCCTGTCGGCCACAAGTCCAGGTCATGTCGGCCAGCTATGGGCCGACTGGACTAATCAGCCCGCTATAGGCCGATAGGCTCTAATTGGCCAGCCGTGGGCCGACTGGTGCATGCCAGCATTTTTTCCCGTACGATCCCCGCTTATATCACGAGCCGCCATTTCCCGTCAAATTTTCCCGTTGTCAACCTCCTGCCATATTTTCCCGCTTTGCTCGTTCCCGCCATATTTTCCCGCTTTGCTCGTTCCCTCCATATTTTCCCGCTCTCTAGTTCCCGCCAGTATCTCCCGCCATATGTTCCTGCTACCGAGTTCCCGCCTTCCTTTGTGTTCTCAACCTATAAAACCCCCTCGCCACTAACGTTGGTAAGCATTCTAGCGTAGTCTCGTAGTCTTGCCAAGATGTCCGGATATCCTTTTGATCGTAGTTTTCACAGTCGTATGTCCGAATGTCTGTTGCGTTTAGCCGCTGATTTCAAGGTTGACAACATATTAGTTCCATGGGAAGAACTCATCATTAGTGACACCCTGCTGAATGAGATGGCTCACGCATTAAGTTGGTGCGGGTGGCCTTCCAGGACCTTTGAGGAGATACGGAAAGAATTTCTGAGGTTGCATGGAAGATACCTAATGTGCGGAAGGTACCCAAATTTGGAGCAAAACATACTTATTTATGGAGTGTCGATAGCGAGGATGAAGACGATATCTTCATGTCGCTGCTTCCGGGTTATGCATCGTCGAAGGGCAAGAGTTCTGCATCATCGAAGGGCAAGAGTTCTGCATCGTCGAAGGGCAAGAGTTCTTCATCGTCGAAGGGCAAGAGTTCTGCATCGATGGAGGATGACAATGATGACTTCATGTAGTTTTTATGTTTTATGTTGTAAGTTAAGTCATACTTACCGTTTAATTTAGATGTTGTATGTTGTATGAAGAAAAAACAGGCCGTGGCCTCCCGCTTGGCTGGGCCTGCTCATCTGGGCTCTCCCCGACGCGAGGCATCCGCTAGTGCTCGCTTAAAGCAAGAAAATAGGGATGCCCGCCTTGCGGTTTCGTGGGCTGGGCTGAGGACTCTTGTCGATTTCATCCTGGGCCACATCGAGCAGCCCCATAGCGTACACAAGATGCTGGATTCGATTTGGTTGGGCCTACCACATGATCCCATTGTAATTTCGGTAGCAACACCCTCTGTTGAATAAAGTCTAGCAAGTCATCCTAAAAAAGAATTATACCTTCTTGTGCACAGCCAACTATGGCCCAT